AGAATTGCTGAGGAACCGTGCTACATACTAATAAATACTGAGATTTGATTTCTCTCGGTCCTTCTATATGGAAGTCAATGCTCAACAATCTCCTCACAAATGAAGAAGAGACTTGAAGCAACAGAAGGATACTGAGAATACCATGGATCAAGCATATGAGCAACGACGAAGTTCTAGAGACGATGGCAACAAAAAGGGCACTTATACTTAATAGGAAGAGACAGCTGAGTTTTCCGGGACAGATAATGAGGAAGGGGGACTTGGAAAATTTGATACTCACAGAACAGGGTACGAGAGATAGAAACAACACATAACCTACCTGGCGAGCGGGAGTGAATGGATGGTGGAGCAAGGTAGGGAAGAGATGGCAAAAAAAAAAAAGACAAAAATTATAAAGAACTAAAAGGAACAGGAAATTGTGGAGCCATGCTCGCCAACGTCCTGAAGGGACACGGCACATAGAAGTGATTTCCCTACCTGGGTTTTGAGAATATATTTATTGAACATCACTTAAACAGATGCATGGGACTGTTATCCTCATCTTTATTGCTATATTCACGACATTTCGGTCGTTGTACGCTCCGGCCTTCCTCAAGAACACATGGCCTAATGGATAAAAGCGTTGGTTGGATCCAGTGACTTGACTCTGGCTTCTGCAGTGGTGAACAAAAAATTCTCAGTTATCTCCCTTTAACTGAGATATCCGGAGGAGGCATGTCACGTGGAACTAGAACAATCTACCTCGGTGGACGAAATAAAGGGCTCAATTCGAAATTCCAATCACCTGAAGGTTGTGAATATGGCAATAAAGTTGGCGACAACAGATCGAACAATGTAAATAATTAGAATATCTAATCTCGGAAATATAGACGGAGATACATGGGACTGGAAATTTCGTGGAAGAGCTCAGTTAACTATCACTAATAAGAGATATTCACTAAGATTAGCTTAGACTGATATAAGTCGACAACAATGGGGTGCCCAATAATCATCAAAATCACCGCGCATTCATAAAGGTTTAGACGTACTCACTAACTATGACTGCACATTTTGAACACTTCATCGTGGTCAGCAAGCTAAAATTCTAAATTATTATTAATGGGTTTGATCTTTATTTAGTGTCACATACTTGAGGCCTTATGTAAAGGGGAAAATAAAACCCTGATCGCTGCGACGATCTTTGTGGCCAAGCGGTAAAGAACACCCGACCAAACGGTGGTTTTCCCCTACAAAGGATGACGTAGATTCGGCCCCTGCCGGGGAATGCATTTTCTTTAATTAGATTTCTCCAATGTGCAATAAATAAAATGAGGCGTATATATCAAATACGAAGTGTCCCCTACAATAACGTTTTGATAATATATATATGATAAATATAACACGTATATATGAAAAATTTCAAAGTAACTACTAACTCGTATATAGGAGACGCGGAAGCGAAAATCGCGTCGCAACTCGTAACGTCACACATGACCACGCAGGAGTGAAAACGAGAAGTATTAAGTATGGGAAGCCGTTGGTATAAGCCAATGGCTTCTGTTATCAATTATAGGCATTTAAGATTTGTGGAGATTTCGTAGTTTTTGTTCAGCTGCGACGCGATTTTCGCTTTCGCGTCTCGTATACACGAGTTAGTCGTTGCTTTGAAATTTTTCATGCAACAAAAACAGACAATCGTTATTGTTTCGTGTATTGGTTGATATATTGAATTATCATCGTTGATAATGGCTTATGTAAGCCGAAAGCTTAGATTGGATTTAAACATGTATCAATGTGGTGATTTCCTTTCGTCTTTCAATAATAATGTTATTAAACTTATCAGACAATATGAAAGCAACTTACTTAAATTAAATAGACAAAACTTGTCTATATTATTTAATGAAACATGCATCAAAGAAAATTGCTGCCTAAATATACACAATATATATATATATATATATATATATATATATATATATATATATATATTAGTATGTGGGCTGTTTATTTTGTATAATAGCCTCTAGACTATAAATGGTTGTCCAACCTATTTTCCTAATGGACCAAATTAGAAATGCAGGTATATTCACTGGGCTACAAAAGTACTTTATATAAATATGCTTTTAAACAGTTCAAAACGTTGTGAAAATACAGTTATTGACAGTTTAAAAAAGAAAAAGAAATTACACATATACAAAATAAAATAAATTCAATGTGATTTTTACATTGCTTTCCTTTTTATAATGTTGTCAATATCTGCTTTTATGGAGCGAGGCTTTATTCTACGAATGTTAGGTTGAGTGATTCCCATTTAACTATCTCTTTCACCAGTTTTGATGTTTTTCATGCAAGAAAAGAATTGTTCACAGAAATATGTACTACCCCAGATGCGTAACAGTTTTCTAGATAAGCTAAATAATTTTTATTTAGCTCTTGCTCTACGCACCAGCCGGTGTGTCTCTGCAAAGGTCTTTGTCCCGTTTCCTTTTTAGTGCAATGGGGAAGTGAACCTACTAAAAACACGATCTGAGAATAATTTTCTCGATATACGTTACTAAAGTAAATGAAAATATACCTAAAGATTTTAGAGTATAGTGAGTCGCATGAAAATATTAAGTGGCCTTCGGGTTGGACATCCCTGCTCTAGAATTTTGAGTCTTTTCTTTCATCTGTAGAGTATGTCGGTGTTATCTAACACATTGACCAGCTCAATAGAAATAACCAGAATGTAATTATAACTATAAAGACAACTATGAATAAATAAGATTAAAATATTCTACAACACATAATGCAAGGAAAGACTCAAAACTCTACAAGCTATCATTACAGTGTAACTCGGATATAAGAGATTTTCTCTGGTCCCAAATTAGAGCCTGTGTTAATGTATATAAAAAAGACCAAACCCGGATACTTCTTCTCCGGTCCCGACAACTCCCTTATATCCGGGTTACCCTGTATATAAAATAAACACTTCACATTAATTAATACAGTAGAATCCCTGATAACTAAACTAAGAAGGCCTCCCGTATGTGAGGGATTATATTTAGATTAAAAGAAAAGAACTGAAATCCGATTTAACATTTAATTTCAATGTTTCATAGTAAACAAAATAAGCTAATAGTAAGTGAAATATAACGGAATTGATTTTAAGGAAAGAAAGAAATTATGTAATGTTAATGAAAATTCATTAAATTAAGTATATCACGTATGCAAACAAATAATGTAACGAGGATTTTTTAATCGCTGTTGCATGATTCTTTTTCTTCTAATGACATTCTCAACTTTGTCCGCATTTCGTTTTGCTTTTGTTCTTGAAGTTTTTTAAACGAAAGACACTTCGTTAATGCAATCGTCATAGCTAAATACTGGTTTTCTTTCCATAAAACTGACAACCTTTTCAATAGATTTTTCAATTCCAGTTCAGGTTTCATCACAATCATGCATCTCGTCGCTATCTTGTTGCAGATGTGTCTCGTTGTCATCCTTTCCTCTTATTCTCATCATCTTTTGCACTAATACAAGCCATTAGGGTGAAATAAGCATAAGCAATTATCTAGTGCAAATTTCCTGAAAAACAAATTTAAAATCAGTTACATATCACCCAAACAGTTCAAATATACACATCAAAATCATGTCCGGATATGCAGGATTTTAATGTGGGCATATCCTTTCAGGATTTAGATGATCACAACTACAGATTGAATGACTATGCATTTGTATACATAGTCGAGTGGTTTCCCTCGCTGTCTTCTCCACAATTTGGAATTAAGGTTTCCTTTTCTTAGACTGCTTGCCACCAAGGACTGTAGAGTCCAGTCTACACTCTTATTTAACCCATAGTTGGGGAAGAAGAGATGGATTTGTCTTTCTCAGGAGCGTGTGTGCAAAAATGAGCGCAAGAAGCGTGGCTGGATTAAACAATTGTTTCAACAATGAGCTTTCAGTAAAAATATTTTTGACTATTTTTTTTTTTTTAAGTTTGGAAGTTGGTTTAGCTTGTACGAAAAACAGAATTCATGAGTAGTTGGAATATCAACTGAATTTGGTTTTATTTTCACTTAAGGAAAGGCGTAAATTGGCCCGGATCTATCACATCACCATATTTCTTATCAATGATAGAAAAGAGAAGGCAAATATAACGTCTTTTCTATAATCTCCTTACCTAGTTAGGCAGCAACATGAAATTGTTACCTCCATTAACAACCTTGAAATAAAACAAATATATTTTTACCTCTGTTGCGTTGATGGGAAAATAAAACTGAAGATTTATTCTATTTGAACAGTATATATATATTCACCAAGCTTCGCACGGTGTAGGAATGGCTTTCTGACACGTACTTGAAACAGTTACTTGTTCCATTAATCTTCCATTGAATTAGAGCTTAGATGCCTATCTAGAAAGCCAGCAATCAAACTCCTAACCTTTTATGTGGGACCGAATGCTGACCTCTAGTATAGGTGGAAAATGTTTCGGTTGTGACGAAATTCTCTAGTATGAAAATAACAAACGCAATACTTTTTCTTCCGTGGAAAAGGTCTCTTCATATGATTGAAACGATCGCAAGAACCTGTAAGAAGAGTTATTTACAGCAAAAAATAAAAACGAAGCCTACTTGTTTGGTAAGGAGAAGAGCTTTTTGTGTCTACATAAAGTTAACTGCTATTATTCAGGATTTTTACTGTCTCTTAACAAAAACCGGTTGGCAGTTTGACAGGCTGGTGGCAATCAAATAAGGAAGATGCGAGTGAGTTTGGCAAGGTAGGAAAAGAATGAGATTTTTAAAAATCACAGGTAAATAGTGATTAACTAAGAAATAAGACGTAGGTAAGTGAAGGCTTCACCATCCAAAATAACCAGGTGGCAAGCGAGATGAATTCCGAGTAAGGTTTTCTGTATTATTTAGTTATTCTTTTCCCTCCCCGCTCTCTGTCTCGCTCTCTTCTGAAAATCCCACCCTTACTCTCAGTTCCTTATCTCATCCACCCGACCCGACCGTCTCGGCATTTTCGTTTCTCTAAGATCACTGTGGAAGCCACCAACCGAAACAGAGAAATAGAACATGACGAAAGACCGGGAGCTCGGATCGACGGGTAAAAATATGTGGCAAAGTTTCCTTGACATTAGCTTCAAGAACATAGAAAGAAATGCAGAGAGAAAAGATAGGAATAAATTTGAAGGAGTGGGTAGAGAAAGAGAAAGTGAGGCAGTTGCATTGGAGGAATTTTAGATGGAGAAAGACAAAGCTTTTGAAGAGGTGGTGAAAGAAATATGCATAGAAATCGGGTGATATGGAAAGAGAAGAGAAAAAGGATAATGTTGAAAGGGAGTGACACGGGTAAAAGGCGGGTAAGCGAAAGACTGAAAAAAGAGGGAAACAAATGGCTGAAAATGTGGAAGATGTGAAGGAAAAAACAAAAAAAAACAAGAAATTTTAAGATAATCAAAAGGAGAGCAGGTGATAAGGGAGAGTATGTTGAATGTGATAAAAAAGAGGAGAGCAAAGATAATAGAGGAAAAATATAATTAAAAATAGTCTTTGAAGAAAAAAAGAGAAGAGAATGAGATAACTGGAAAGGTGGCAGAAAGTTCTAAGCAGGGTAAACTTAGAGGATGAGAGAGCTTGAGAAAGCAACGAAGAGAAGAAATCTCAAAGACAGAAAATGGGGGGGAATAGTCTTCTATGGTTAAGAGAAGAACGATCATCTGAGAGAACAGAGGGTGGAGAAGGAACGTTGATTTGATGAAAGAAAGACTGATTCCTCTGAAGAGAGAGAGAGTGAGAAAGAGAGACAGCAAAAAGAAAAGTGAAGTATAAAGTATGTGAAATGGTAGACAGGATAAGTATATTCCAGCTCGAGTTTGCCTACCGACATACATCCGTAGCGTAAATACGTGCGTAGCTACATTACATTACTTTTGCAGAACGCGCTGCTGGAGGAGTTTGGCGGCAGGGGGGGGCGGATCTGGAGCGAATGTCACCTCAAAGTGGGGAATTATTTTTTGCATCTATTATGTCGCCCAAAAGGAATTCTTCGTAGCTGTTGGTCGGACACTGGATCTTAGCAGACGCATCAGGTTCCAAATGTAGGGGGGAGGGAGGAAAGGCTTATTTTAAGGTCGAGTGAGGAGGTGGGCTGGCATTAAACGTAAGCTTCCAAGTACGCATCTGCTTATTTATTTCATTTCCCCACCACGACCCATTTATCTATTTCGAGTACCTTACTGTCCTCGTCACTCCATCTCTCTCTCTCTCTAAACGCGCACTGCTTTGCAAGTGATGACAACAGGATTTTTTTGTGTCTTACTGCGAATATAAATTATTCAAGAAAAAAGCTCTTCATCATATTTATAGTGAAGCCATGCTCGGAAAAATAAAATTATAACTACTAGGGAGGCACGGTGGCGTAATGGATAGCGGCTCGAATTGAGGAATCGGAAAGCCGATTTCGAATTCCAGTCGAATCCATTACATTCACTTACGTGTTAATACCCTTGGGAAAGTTATGAATCCTCTTCTTCTCCTCCCATGTTTAAATAGCAGGACAGACTGGGTTCTATAGCCTTGGATGACAACTGGTTTACCGCGGGAAAAAATCTGCCTCGTCAGTCATGTATCGAAAGATACATAATCGCCTAAGCGTGTATCATGTATGGCACATAACTGACTGACTGAATATATAATAAAATATACATATGAAGAGCATGTGTAATTATCATTAATATTTATTTACTTATAATATAATCCATGTAACCATAAGTAAACTTTTTTAATCCTATCGTCGGTTAAATAAATTCCCATATGTACTTATACATATTATTTGCAATGACATGAGGTATGTGCCGGCGATAGTGAATGGATTTATTTAGGCACATACAGCATTGTAACCCTGACACATAGAGAGGGTTTCGTTATCTCAATGCCCGCTGTTCCAATACTCGCCCTTTCAGTTTAAGTTATTGTTATACCATACTTATGGACTATAATGGATATGTACCAATCCGTATAGATACAGTAGAATATACTGTATGTGGCAGTCATTGGTCTTCCGTGTCGACCAGCCTTAACCCCTCCCCTTTTTAGGCTACGTGCCACAATTGTGTAATTTCACAATAAATAACCATTGGTCTTCCGTTGGGCGGCCAGCAGTTGGAGATACGTCTTCAGCTGGGCTGGTTAAGCTCTCTGCCTCCGGACAGAAAGTATCCTCAGACGAGGCTGTGTCTCGTCTCGGGAAACACCTACCCGACCCCATTTTATACGGGGTCTACGGTGAATTTTTTTTGGGGGGTGGGGGCTGAATATACGGGCTCGGAAATCCCATATTAAATTCGGCCTTGTGCCATATCTGACTGCGTGAGGCGGTTGGTAGATACCGTCATTAGTCTTCTACTTGCGATTCACCTTGATTCATTTCTCGCTCACCACTAGCAGTTGATTACTTACTACACACCGCTGGCGAATCTTGTATGTTATTCCTGTTATAAATATTATCTTTCCATTTCCAACGTTCGTTTTGGTTATTCTTATTCAGTAACCTTTTCCTAGGTTACAACAGCTATTTTTGTTTATATATTTCTGACGTGATGGGGGAAAGTCGATTTTTCAGCTTAATATTGATTTTAACATGTAATAACACTTATTCTCTTATTGGAAATTAGGAGGGAAAACCAAATCAGAGAATTATCAGTAATCTTAAATAAACAAAATGAAAATTATAATGTCACAGACAAGTTCGTAAACTCATTTGACTGTGTTTCTATCAGACATTAACATTTTATTTGTGAGATTTACTTTTTATAATCTGTCTGCGCTGCCTTTTCTTGGTTTCGTTAGGAACACGTTTAGGTTTATCGTCAAATTAGACAATTCTTTTAAATTCTGCACTGTCCACAGATGTCTTATTTGTCGTTAGTCCTACTTAACGGTCGTAGAACTTAAAAACGACCGGATCTTTGAGATCAAAAGGCAACAAAACTAAGACAAATTAGAACATTTTTGATTTTACTATCTTAAGACTTCAAACAATATTCTTATGAGAACCGACTGTACACCACACTTTTCATACTCCCCACCCAAAGGCATCGCCAAAGGTCATTGATTCAAACAGAATATTTTTTTCTTTATCCATAGATCCATTAATGAATCTGTAGTGATGGGAAGGGGATAACTGTCATTCAGTGCACACCCATGTTCCTCAAATAATCTCGATACCAAAACCTTCAAGAAGTTTGGATATATTTGATAGAACGAGAATTTAAGTAAAGAAAATAAGATTTTTTCTTTTCAACAGCCAAACTGTTATAAAAGTAGAATGACCAGTAAAAATTTTCACAATGAAGATCCTTTTTAAAGAATAAAAAAAAAAAAAACACCAATAGTAAAGAATATTTTCTGCACCTTGGAGTTTGGTATTTGATGAGCGCCTGATTTCTGAGTAGTGAAAATTCATTTTTTTTCTAGGTACGCCATACACGTAGCTTCAGCAATTAACAGTCTTTTATTTTTATTTATTATTTTTGTATTAGACACGTCAACTGTGAATTTAGTTAATAATTGCACAGGTAAAAATGGCTTAAGTGGAAAAATAGGAAAAATCAGTTTATTGGTAAAAAAAAAAAGTTGATCTCTTTTGTATACATGTATCCTTGGAAGCAAATCTTTTTTTTTTTTTTTTTTTATTACTTAATGACTTCCATGATGAGGTTGCGATAGAGCGACTGAAATCAATGGCGTGTACTTGACGGTTCCCAGACAACTGTCCTCTGATTAGAAATTTAACTTTAAAAAGCTTAAAATTAAACAACTACTGGTGTTTAATTTTAAGCTGTTTAAACAGTCTGTTTTTCACTTGTGCCATTTTTAACGTTCTCCACCGTCTGTATACGCAACATTAGAAATTGCGGATAAAGTTAAGGACTTCAACCAACACATTGACTCGTACAGTGACACATCAAATTCTAGTGATAGCGGTGGGGGCAGGGATTAAACAATATTCAGAGTGATATTTTAGCATCAGTCTTGAATAAATGGATGGTGGGGCATGGTTTAGGAGAAATAAAAAATTTTAAGGGGTACAATTGACAGGAACTTGTGAAGAGCCATGATCGCCTACGTCCTTGTGGGACAAGGCACATAAGATACGCCAGCAAATTTACAGCATTTTTTTTTGGTGTTCCACCAAAGGCACAGCCACTACTTGCATAGTGGTTTTCTCAGTGTAGCTTAGATGTGGCACAGGGTCGAAAGCATAGAACACTCAGTAAGGATCGTAATAATTAGTCATATTTGATCTAGCGATACAAGCTTGTTAACCATTACCACTACTACTACACTGGAATAAAAACAGCAGGATGTTATCTTTCCAAACGCCAATCAAATTGTTCATTAGTAAAATTCGTTTGCTGACTTTTTTTTTTTTTTAAATAATTTTTTCTTTCATATTATTTATCTTCAATTGGCTAATTCCCTCTATTTTCCGCGTGATAGAAATCATCACTGGTACGTGACTGAGCATAAGCGGACATCTTTTTATAAGTTGAGTAAAATAAGCTTTTTATTATTTTTTCAAAATTCTCATTGTTAACTACAAATTTAAACAGAAATAAAATGAACCAATAGGCGGAGTTGTGTAGTAGAAATTGACCAATAATCTTTTTTGCAAAATTTTTGTTTATATTACTATAACTTAAACACAATCACCAATATATAATTATTAAATTATTACACTTTAGAATGTTAATGTGTAGGGGGTACAGTTTGCTATGTAAATTAATTCCCTTCTGAAAGCTAACATAAAATGCGCTCCTACCACGTGGTTTCTTTTTTTAAAAAAATGGATTTCGTATTCTGGAGTTCTTTTTTCATATATTGTTATCGATTAAGTATTTCCGATTACGAATTACCGTAATTCCCCATATATAATACGCCTTCATCCATAATGTGCACCCCTAAAATTGGGCTGAAAGTCTGGGGAAAATGCTTTTTACTCACGTATAATACGCAACCCTTGTTTGCAATCAAACCATATAAATTGGACCTCAATTTTATTACGACCAGCGTTTCATACTCTTATTTAAATTCTTATTTAAATGATTTGAAACCTAGAATAATATTATTCTAATTTAGTTTTATAAGTCTTTTATTTTATTTTACAACAATTTAAAAAATTTTTTGTAGTTGTGCATAATACGCACACCTGATTTTGCTTATTTTCTTTTAGAAAAAAATGCGTATTATACACAGGGAATTACAGCAAATTAATGTAAAAAAAAAAAAACTAACATTTAAAAAATCACATGGTATGAGTATATTTTGTCTGTTTTGTAGGTGGGGTAAATTTACATAGTAAACAGAACTTTTATAAAACATTTTTTTGTATTTATTTCATATTCGTGATAAGTAGATTTTCATTTCACCCCCTAATATAATTATTTCAGATCGCTGATGAACACTCCTACCGTTTGGAAGAGAGGTGAGGGGTGTCAAGACTTTCGGACCACCTTGTACAATTCCATCCGAAGGATTGGGGGGGCGTTATAATCATAGTAATTACTTTATTTTGGCCTGAAAAATATAGAAAGTTTTATTTAAGAAATACTTTTACTGTTTTTACACGAGTAAATGAGGTAAAATTATTAATACTATTTTTTTAAGGACTGCTTGTATGCGGAATAGTTTGAATAGGTTGAACTTACAATTACTATACAAAGTACACTAGGCTATCGTCCTATAAAGCAGTGGTCGCCAACCTAAAATTCTAATTTCTAAATTCATATTAGTGATCCGCCAAATTTAAAATTATACATTTAGTGATCCAAGAAGTTCAAAAGGTTGGCGACCGCTGCTATAAAGAACAAGACAGAGTAATCCTGAATAT